CACCATCAACTTGGGTTTTGAAGTCCTATAACACTCAAAATGGAATTTAAAATTGATTTTAGAATGAATGTGAAATTTAATAAATTTTGTTTGTTGGCAATTGTGTGAATGAAGTCCTGCACCTCTCATTTTCTAGGAAGTTGTCAGACATCTAACCAAAAAATCTTCTCTGTATTTCAAGGGATAAAAAATATGCACATTGTACAATCTTATACTTCCTCCGTTTTTTTTATTATTGCACCATAAGGGTTTGGTACAAATATTTTGGTAGTGGAAAAAAGTGAGAGAGAGAAAGGTAAAAATACAAAATTGCCCATGTGACATATTGATAAACTAAAAAGTAAGTGTGAAAAAGCAAGGGTATGTTGGGTATTTGTAGTGTGAACACAAATAATTTATATCCTAAAGAGGAAATGGTGCAATATTTGTGAAACTTCCTAAAAAGGCAAGTGGTGCAATAATAAAAGAACGGAGGAAGTACTCACTAAGAGTCTTATACGAGGCTGTACAGAAATTAAACTATATTTATGAAAATAGGAAATTAAAACAAAACACCAATGAACTCACCATCTAGTTTAAGAAATTCCAAACCTAGGATGGCTACATCCTGACGTGCACGAGCATCAAGGCTGCGTAAACCACTGCAAAAGAAATCGGAAAGGAAAATAATGAACAAGAACTTTTAAGGAGACTGATCAGAGCACTAATAATTGGATACACACTAAAGTATTAAACTAAAGGATCAAGCATGGTTGAAAAGTTCATATATCACAAAGGAAATACAATAGCACTATAACCATCACCATCATTAACAGCAAAAAAGTCATTAGTGTCCAGTGCATAGGTTTAATTATGCAAATCCAATACCATATTTTGGGCAATTAAAGACACAAGATATTTTCAACAATACAGTTCACTTTTTTAAAAAAACTTCTTATTGATTGGATAAACATCATTTTCACAACACAATTATATCACTTTCAACAACACATCTTGGCATTAACTGAAGATTTATGCCCATCCCATCCCATCCCACTGCACAAATTACAAAAATTTATGATGAAAAACTAATTCACTGATGACCCTTTCATTCATTGATGTCAATGATTCTGACTTCTGACTATACCTTTACTACAAAACCATCTTCTATATCATGACAAGCAAAAAATGATAATACGCCAAATTAATAAGTTTTATATTGGGGAAATATCAGGAAATGGACTGTTATATTTACACGTTCAGTCTGAACTCTGAAATCAATGCCTATTCTGGTGCAATGTATGAATATTAACTTGTGGTGGAAAATCTTTCAGCTTCTAGGAAGTCTGCCAGGGAAAAGGAAAAACCATTTTAAAAACATCTGACTGTTCACCAATATGCATCTTCTGACGTAACACTTTGGTTCAAGAGCTTTCCTCCATTGCCTCAGGCAATTCTTTTCCATTTTTGTTCATGCCATAGAACAACTTTTCTGACTATGACATTCTTAGATTCAAAGGCAACTTAATTTCTTTATTTCCTTAATATTTGGGCAGGTAGAGGTGGCATCAACTTAAAGATGCAACAAATAAAGCAACTTCGGGAAATTAATTAGTTAGCACTTGTGCGAGTAAAGGATTAGACGGTGAAGTAAACATGAATATGAAAAAACCAGAACAAGTTATCAAATTATTAGCATTACCGAGAAAGTAAGACCATATCTCTACGTGCTCTTTCATTAACAAACTTAGCATCGTTATGAGCATATTTATAGGCTTCTGCTAGTCCTTGAGTTGTTGAAGCCAACTCTTGACCTCCAGCTGAATTCTGAACTTCCTTTTCTTCAATCCCTTCTCTACAATACAAAGCAAAAAATTATGAGTACAAGATATGAGCTTAAAAATATTACTGGATAGACACATCACTTTTGTCGTTCTAAGAGCTCAAGGATATCAATGGATAGATACATCATTTTTTTGTTTGTCATTTAAATCATTCTAAGAGCTCAAGGATACCCTCCAATAATCACTTAAATATTGACAAGGAACAATGAATGGGTAGAAGCTATCCACAATACCCAGTTTTATCCGCACATTCACTAGCATGTCTAATGCCTTCTCTTGATTTTGTCTGAGGAGTTTCTGTCAAGTGGCATTGTACTAACAATCTCCGACAAGTAGCATGGCTTACAGGTCTTTTGCATATGCCCCATAGACTGTCCGAGGAAGGACTCAGCCTGGCTTCCCTGTTACGCTCACTGCACAACCTTCTGAAACTGGCTCCACAACTTCCACTGTGACAACTAGATCTAGGCGAATTAGGAATGGAACATAAAATTGCTTGTCGGTTAGAATTTGCAGTTTGATCTGAAATTGCAGGATTTCTTATTACTCTGCTAGAGGTTAGTGCCATTTGAAGGATCAGAAATTGAATCTGACTATGCTGAGTGGCATTTCACTGATGAAAGCTCACTGTTGGAACAAATCAAAGAACGGGAGTTATTAGTACATCAATGAAGATTTTAAGACACCAGCCAACAAGAAACACACGATGAAATGCATACTAAGCTAGGGTCCAATTCAACCAAAGAACCAAGAACACAACAAGATTAAATAACAGCCAATTCACAAATTCGACATGCAAAGGCATCAGCATAGTAATGGCTCTTTTAAGCTTTTGTGCTGCATTTGAACAAACACATACAGGTACAAATGAGGTAAAGATTTATGTAAGATTCATTTTGCATTTTTACTATTTTTTCATCTCAATTCAATCATTTAAGTTGATATAGCCATAGGATTGTATAAATTCTAATTGCAAACTCTTTACTATATAGGATTATACATGCTTATTTATTTCCGTGTATCAATAATCAATTTCTATTATACACCCGAGTACAACTAACACCTTCCACATGGGGAGGAAACTGTGAGAGAGTCGAAAATTTACACCCGGGTGTATGATGGACTCCTGCATACCAAATGATCAAAAATAGCAACAAATAACACGATTCTGGAATGTGTATCATCATTGACAAGATTACAAATTACTCAAACATCAACTTAAGTTATCAATAAATAGTTCAACTCCATTATTGCAAATTCTACCATTTTGACAAAATATAACATCATCCCACCAAATAATTGTATCATACTTATAATTTAAAAAATACCCTTTAGAAATTATAATCAGTTTGTCAACATAAACATGAAATTGCAGCAACAAAAAATCAACTTTTCCGAGCTACTCATATATTGAAGTGAAAACCAATCAAATTTGATTACAAATAGTATTTCAAGTACAAGTAAAATCAGTTGAACAGTATTGGTAAGAAACAAGAAGATGAAAAGAGAGAATATTCAACTGACCTCAGAGGGACCAAGAGAGGAGAGCAAGAAGAGAGTGAAAAGGGTGTAATTGAGTCGTAGAAGATATTGTAGGGATGATGAGTAGTGAATACTGAATAGTGGGTGAGAGTGAGATGAGAATAAATTCCAACCACTAGGACCAAACTATGTCAATTAACCCACTTTATTTTTGTTGAATTGGATGTGCCTGTGTCGATAATTGCTCTTGTTGTCTACGACAAATGTTCAGCCATGCTGATCCCACGTCCCACTGTTTGCATTCAACCCAAGGTAAAAACCGAATACTCGTAAAAGTCGTATCGAGTATTGTTTGGTTAACCTGGAAATTAGAACTTCCTATGAATAGTAAATTTATGGAAATTAAATTCTTATACTCAAATTTATAGGAATTTTATAAAATTGTTAGGTTAATCACGAGGGAAGTAATTTTTAATGGGAATTTATACTTACTTACCTTGGAGGGTTAGGTAAGTAAGTTCCAACATTTCTTAAAAAAAAAAAAAAAGAAAGAAAGAAGAAGAAGTTCCTACATTTTGTGGGAACTCAAAATTCTTAGGAATTTCCACTTACTTCATTTCAACAAATTTGGTCAACCAAACAACACACAAAACTTGCAATTCCCAGGAAGTCTCACTTTCTATGTTTTTCTTATGTCAAACAAACAAGTCCTTCGGCTATGTTCACTCTATCTATTATGACTTAAAATTTTCTAATCTGGTTAGATTTCATTTTTAAATTTGTTGAAACATTGACCTTTATTGGTATATTTTGATTAGGGATGTCAGTGGTGTGAATCAAGTAGGAGACATGCGCCCACTAGGGCGGAGATGGGTCTCGGTTTGGCAGGTGGTGGGGCGGGGATGGGGATAAAAAATCATGCTCGCTAGGGGTGATTGGGCGGGGGTGGATTTTAGGTTGTACCCGCCTCATTCTCGCCCCACTCCACTTTATACCCGCCTCGCCCCACTTTATACCCGCCTCATCTCCACATCTATAAATTTTTATAAACAAAATTTATATTTTTATTCTATTTTATTAAAAAAAATATATATGTAAAATAAATTACTAGATATAATACTTTAAAATACGCTAATGTCATAAACAAAAAAGTTTGCAATATTACAAATATATATTTTTTTAATCCATATTAATTACTAGTATGTAGGATTGTGTATTGAGAAGTGGGGATTAGGCGGGTCTTGGGTGGGGATTAGGTAGGGTGGATATCCAAGTGGGGCGGGATGGTTTTGAAATTGTACCCTGGCTACCGGGTTGGGGATGTGGATGAATTTTTGACTCGCCACGAAGATGGGGATGAGGATGAAATTTTAGATACGGATGGGGATAGGAATGCCAATATCCACTCTACTTCGTCCCATTCACAACCCTAGTTTTGAATGTAGGCATTTTTTTTATACATGGCTGGCCACACCATGTGGTTGGGGTTACTCAAGTAATGATCTTTAGCAACCATATAGGTAGGACGTTAAGCTACTTTACTATTGTAGGTTAAAATTACTTCAGATTGATTAAAATGTTACCCTACAACTGAGCAATATACAGTCAAACTAATATCAATCGAGTGAACCCAACAGTTATTTCATCTAATTTTTGTTGGAAGAATTGGGAAAGGGCAGGAAACGAGAAGTTGAATAAATAAGATAACAAACATTCACATTCAAATGCTGCGCACGTCAAAAATTGAATGAAGACAACATTCACAAGAATCGTTGTGTACTTACTATTAATATACACTTATAGTCTACACTCGATAACAATTATACAATCATTCAAGGCTATGCAATGTACATGAAACAATTTACAAACTCATGGCAAAAACAATATATGATAGTGTATTGGCCAAATGTTAAGAATTTTGGGAGCCTGGTGAAGCACCTTCAATTCTGTGTAAATTCATTTCTCCAGCTTCTGACTTTTTAAAGAGCTTCGATACTAATTCATCCCAAGTAGCTCTCTCACCAATCGATCTTGGAAGGGGTCTTGAGGACTCCTCTGTTGGCTTATCTTCCGATGAACGTACAGCTCCCTCCTCGAGGGACGCCGGCTTCTCAAGTTCCTTCTCTAAAGAAACAGCATGAGGCACCTTGAGACTTACAGCTCTTTCCAAAGCATCTTTGTGTTCTTTTTCAATTGTTTGCAACCTCTCAAATCTCTGCACTCTTGGAGGACTAGTTACTGTCTCTGTGCTGCTGTCTTTCATCCTCTGCACAAAAAAAGATAGTAAATTTTTAGATTTGATTTTTCTTTCACGTATGTTAGAATTACAGTCCTCTCCATTTTAACAAAGGTGAGCATTTCCTTTTGTTGGAAAACTTAAACAACTGTAGGTCCATAGGTGCTCATATAATAAGGAGCATGCACTATTCTCACCTTTAAACAAGAAAAGATAATCTAACATAATACTATCTACAGCAATCGAATGAAAATTATAGCTCAAATAGAGATAGTACTCCCTTTCATACTAATACTATTTGTTCAAATGCAATGTTAATCTACTAAAATACAATGTAAACACAAAGCCAATGTGTTACAAGACTTACAACCTAAGGTAGTCCAGTGTCATTTCATCAATTCATTAAACTGCGAATCGAAAATGATGGATTAATAGGTGAATGGTTCAGATTTTACTGGCAAATTAGGCAATACTGCTACCCATAGCTCCGGGAAGCATTTCCAGATCTTCAAGAACTACACCATTTGAAATCTACCTCTACACTTGGCAATTTAAAGAGTTGGTTTAGGAAATCCAAAATCGTGTGTTATCCACCCAAGCACCATTAACTGCCATTTAACTCGCGAGCCAGGACTAGCTCAAAAAAGCCTCCCTAGGTAAGTCTCGCAGGAAAATAAAATATATTACGGAGTATCACAAATGCTCATGAGCATTCATTGCCCCAGAGCACTGGGAAATTCCCCAGAGACCACAAGGTTCACAATGACAACATTCCCTTTTTGGAGATCTTCCTAAAGATTTAAGTCATTTAACAGTTAACACATGTCAGCAAGTTAACATCAAAAAATCAGAAAGTACATACCAAACTTTTCAAGCATATACCATAAGATGACCAAGAAAAAAAGGCATCTGATGCTTTACCTACCCCCCACAGATACATACAAGTATTTCAACCCAAGACGTGAACTTTCATCAAATGACAATTCTTACTTGATTCCCCGATTCACTATCTTTTCCGCCTTTTTTATTAAACACCAAACTTTGGTAAAAGTGAAATTTTGCTTAAGAGCACATGTTCGGGTTTAAAGATGAGAACATTGAAGAAAATTCGTAAGACTCCATACAGTAACTTTATAGGATCCCTAGGATATTAAAGATCTCAATTCAGATGTGAATTAACTTACTAGTAAAGCTTTCTCTGCTTCTCTTTCGATCCAAACAATCCCATGATCAGATGTAGCATTACAGGACAGCACAATATGCTCAAATCTTCCATCAACAGGAATAGCAGTTCTGACTTCTGGAGGAAACCTTCCACATCTGAAAATTTCGATATTTAAAACCCAAGCTTATGTAAACAACATTTAGCAAGTCTATTTCTACAATTAAGCTACTCAAAGGATGCAGAACTCAGTAAATTGCATGAAAGCATAAAATGATTGAGCAGGGATTCCAACATATCTGTGGGTTAGGGGCTTTGGGTTAAAATTTTATGACAGAACCCTGTACAGTACAAAACATATATCTGCAAAGAACCAATTATCATTTATTCATATGACTAATGACTTTACTGCGAATAACCAGATAGTAAGGAAATCAAAATTAATCAAAATTGGTCAAACTCTCACTCCCCCCATGCAGGAGGTACTCCAACTCCATACCAATTATCTAGCCACCTCTTTGGATAATAAAAAAAAAAAGATAAAGGAAATACAGGAAGCATGTCAACCTTTAAGGAACGTAACAGTCAACAAAGATGTTCAAACTCGAGAAGAAAACATATAGGTGAAAGAGTTAAGCATACCATCAAGTACCAAAGCTGACTTACTAACACATGACAATCTCCCCTCAGAGATTTTTCCAGCCAAAATCATTTTTAAAATATCACCTTAGGGGGAAATAAGTTCTACAAAATAATAGTTGCTCTGAAGCATAAAAATACCTACTTTTAAAAAAGCTTTCTAAAATACCTAAAATGAGTAGATCTTGATATATTTATGTTTCTAATATTGAATTTATAATGCATAAAGTTTTGTATATGTAAATTTACCCAATAATTACAAAGGCATTTTCTTATAAATACTAGTCTGAGCTTCAGGTAAAAGACTAGTTTTGCAATAATACAGTGCCTGGAGAATTTGTGAAGTTGGTTTTGGTAGGATCTGTTGATTAACATGTGATGCCTTTTTCAATTGCATTAAAACAAGGTCTTAGTTCTTGCACTTAAGATAGTCTGAGCTTTTTTCTTTAATTTTTTTGAGGCAGGGGAGCTAGGAGGGTGGGATTTTTCTGTAAGAAATAAACAAATAAAAAAATTTACTTTTAGTTTCTGTCAATCCCGCACATACTATTGGGGATTCACTTAAAAAAATAAAATAGCAAGTAAGCAACAAGCACAAGTTACTTGCATGGTTTTGTGGCAAACTATCAGAGCTTTGTTGTTTTATATTACAAAAGCATATGCAAATTCCCAAGCACTAGAAGCTGGGAAGAGGGACTTCTAAGCTTGTAAAAAGTGCTTGTTGCAGTGGCAACTCCTTATCATAGGCCTTCTCCGCTTTTGATTATGAGGGTAAGAAGCGAAAATAACATGCCAAAAGGTGGGACATTTCTTCCTTTCTAGCTATCTCGAATGATGTGCCACTACTCTATGTAGCATCTATTACAAAACTGAAAAAATATTCTAAAACTATGAAAAGAAACTTCATAACAGGACACTTAATGTTTATATGACTGAAAAAATACACCGTGACAGGAGTAATAGGGACACTGAATGTTTATATGACTGGCATCTCAGCTCCTAAGTGGCAAACACCAAGATTCACAACCATGAAAGAGATTAAGAGATCCTCCAAATGACATGTCTATGCAATGAAAAAGCTGGATTGATTTCAAAAGTGTTAAAAAAAAAAACAAAAACAAAAAGGCATTGCCACTGTGCTCCAAGCACTTCTTACAAGCTTGAAGAAAGATATGAAGGTGGTTTACGAGGAAAATCTAGCTAATATAGTTCCACACTGCCTGTAATAGTGTAATATGAGATTCTTAAAACATTAGGAATTCAGGATTCAATCCTAACATGAGGAAATAACAAGAACAACACAACTCGGCTCTTACCTGCAAAATTTCCTTTCTACAATATGGTACATTAATCCTAACATGAGGAAATAACAAGAACAACACAACTCTGCTCTTACCTGCAAAATTTCCTTTCTACAATGTGGTACATTCGTCCAGGAGCATATAGTCTTCTTGGATCTCTAAGCTTCCTTTCCTCGGGGATGAAGGTGTCCCTCAAGCAAATCAAAAACATCAAACAGGGCAAGCTGTTGAAAGCATTTAAGGCCTGGTTTGAGAGATTGATATAAATAACAAACTCACTGCTTTACAGATCACTGATTCTGTAGTAAACTCAAGAGGGAGTTCCTTTCTTTTCCCATCTCAATTTAAAAAAATTAGGGAATAAGACTAACCAGAAAATTGACTTGAAAATATCTTCTAATGGAGTGGCTGTTCTGGGTAGAAAGTCATCCTGGATAACAGCATAAATATGGTGATGTTGTCAGGTCACTAGTGAAATTTAACATTTTCCCATGTAATAGCTTAGAAGTACTTTGAAAATATTTACAAATTCATTTAAATATAAAGCAACTAGATAAGCACAAAACAAGGGAAATTAATAGCTTCAGTTTAGCATCTGATGAGGGTATGCTTATTGAATGGGCGAGAGCTACCAACTGAAGGAAGGATCAAAAGATTACTATAACAAGCAGCCATAATTCACATCCAAGACTAACTGGTCCACAACTGAAAATCTAACATTCTAATGGATGACTATCTGGGTTGATCTCTAAGCTGACAAGCTGGCAATAAAATTATCCTACATCAATAGAAAGAACAAATTCACTAACTAAGAGAGAATACAAAGAACAGATTGAGGAATGATCACAAATCGGGCTTTTAAAGGAATTAGTCTAGCTAGCATGTAAGATGCAACACAAATATCTGCAGAAATAACCAAAAACCAACTCCACCTAAGTCCTCCAAGCCACGGGAAAGAGTAGAAGGGCTTCCACTTGACCCAGGTTGCATGAATGTGGTAGAGTTACTAGACCAACTAATATGAAGAACAATAACAACACTAGTCCTAAAGGCTTCATTATCAAATCATTTAGAAGGACCCTTCTCATCAATGTCAACGGTTAGTAACTCATACCATATCATTAGTCCATTACTAATTAGATCTATAATCACCCCTTATGTTACACTCGGTTGTATGATGAAAGGTTCCCATGTAATTAGTACAAAATGGATCATCAAATCATACTCATGTCTTTGAGTATTGTTTCTCCTACACCGCACTTGAGGTTAATGAAGGGTCCGAGTAGCAACAATTGACCTATACAGATTGCCCAAATTTACCATTATCAGACATAAAGCACAATTTCTGAAGAATGATCCTATCCTAATTACCAAAATCTCTGATTTATGTGTTTTTGACAAGTACTTGTTAACAGACACTGATGTATGACAGAATCCCTTCCCAAATTAAACTCAGTCAAAATACTCAAAACCCATAAGTGTCAATGATCCAACACGGGCACCAATCGAAAAGTGCGAAACAATTATTACCAATAAATTAACATCTTCTAAGTAATAGGCCTAATAGCAACAATGATAAAGAAGTCAAAGTAATGAAATCACAAGATCTTATCATACTACTGACCTGAAGTATGACAGAGTGAATAACATCAGCATACTTAACAGCAAGATTAAGCGACATACACCTCGCAGGAGCAATCGAATAGCAAGTAACAAGATTCCGCGGAATCCCCCCAAGTTTATGACCATGATTCACAACAACAACAGCCAACAAAGCAGCAACACCAGACCCTAAAGAATGCCCAACAAAGACCATCTTATAGCACCTTCCATTATCCACCCACAGTTTCTTCAGCGTCTCTGACTCTCTATTGAGCAACCAAATCGCCGATTTCAACAACCCATGATGAACATACCCACCATCAAACATCTGCATTCCAAGCCGATTATCAAGTAGTAGCTTATAATCCGATTCTTTGATTAGATTTAACCCACGAATAGCAAGCACGATCTCACGGTGTTGGTGGTCAGCATAGATAATGTAAGGCGGAGCACGGCCTTCTGTTTGTTCATACGTCACTCGCTTTATAAGCCAATCTGGGTTGAGCCGATAACCACCAGGTGGGGCGAATTGGGGGTTACGGATATCTGGTTCGTAAACGGCGAGGATGACCCGGCAAAGGCGGGGAACTGGCTCGAATTCATCAGGGGTTGCAGATGGCCATGTAGCGCTGTCGTTGGAGCCGACGTATGTGCAGCGCTTCCATAGCCATCTGGAAAAGCCAATGATTACGACGCATTCGACGCTGCAGCAGCAGACTGACATGGTTGTGGTGGAGGAGAGAGAAAGAGAGGGGTGTGACTGTGACTTAGTAGAAGGTGTGAGGCAGGCTGTCGATTGGTTGGCTGTGAAAATGAATAGAATCAGGAAGAAGTGAAGCTGTAGAGTCTTGTAGTTTTGCCTAAAAAAGGTAAAATGAAATGAAATGAAAAAGGGAAACGTGACAATGTTCGAAGGTTCTTATCTTAGCCTTGAAGGTGTTAGCTGCCACTCTGCCAGTGTTACAGTGCCAGGTCAAGCTGGTTCTGTGCTTCTGCTTCATTACTTGCCCATGTTTTTTATTTTTTTATTATTTTTTTTTAAACTCTCTTAATTTTTTTTTTTTATTTTTTTTTTTTTTTTTGAGAAATTCTACAAGATAACCCTCAACTTTTTAAAATTCTACAATGTGCCCTTATATTTCTAAACTTCTACACTATAACCCCAAGGTACAATTATGTCATGTTAAATGGGCTTGCCCTCATTAGCACAAAAAAAAAAAAAAAAAACAATTATGTCATGTTCTTTTAAGCTTCTGGGCAGTACAAATTTTTACCTAGACTCTAGTCTAGGATGAAATCCCTGCACCCCCTTGCAAACGACGCCGCATCACTATTGTTTTTAATTTCTTTCACCTTCAAACTACAGGACAATCTAACTTGATCTCCATCTTACATCTTTGTTGATCTCTCTGCCATTTCTACTTCTCCGTCGATCTCAAAATAACTTTCGGTAGAATTGCTACATTTGCATGCTTTAGATATATTTATGAATTGCAGAGATTATTGTGTATTGATTTGATCAAAAATTGATTGCAGTAACTTACGATCAATTAGTTCAACAAGCAAATAACGAGCTTAATCAAACAGGCAAGCCATATCAAGAAACTAACACAAAAATTATAAAAATAATTTGATCCAATATTTCCTGATTTTTTTTGTGGGATGAAGATCTGGAATTATATATGCTAGTTTACTGTTGTGGTGGAGGCGATGACGACGCAACTAAAGTTGTGGATTATTTATTGTTCCAATTTTTAATTCCTTTGTAGTTGATGCCAAATATGAAAGTAATAGAGAGGGAGAAGAAAAAGATGAAGAATGAAGCTTAGAGGATTGTAGAGTATTAAGAAAGAGAGAGAAAATTATGAAGACTAAAGCTGAAGAAAAGATACCAGAAACACCTTACCGTACTGTATAATGAATTTGTTCATGAATGAAAGACAAACATAAATGAACATATAATATTTTGTAATTGAACATTTAATTATGGTTTGATAGAACATTTAATTATTTTCATAGATGATTAAAAATTTATAAAAGTTATCTTTTTTGTATTATTAAAGGAGTTTGAGGATAATTATTGAGGCTTATGTGAAAAATAAACATATATTAAAAATTTGTGGAGTATATAAAGTATATAATATTTATACATATGAAAATGAACATCAAATAATATATAAATGAACATTTTTTTTTATCATTTTCATGAAAAGCTATAGAAAATCAAATTGTTTTTGAAATTCCTTATTAAATATGTAGAAAATATATAAAGATCGAAGATGGAAAAAGTGTGGACATTTATCAGAAATCTAATGATCGTCTATTAATATGCGAATAATGATCATATACTAATATATAAATGAACATTTATCAAAATGAAAATGAACATTCAACAAAAAGAATGTATTGTAGTTCATCAAGTAAACACTATAGGTTGTGCAATATGAGTTTGTTCTCTTGTAGCTATTGATTTCACTATATTGTCAATATATCCATAACTTGATGTACATGTATAAATATGACAATGAACATGCATCCATTTCTAGATGAGCATATTTCAATACAAGAATGAACATTTATTAAAATATCCTGAAATTAAAACAAAAATTAACAAACATCTTGACCGTGCATTTAAATTATGGGATTGAACAATTGCAATACTATATGTATAAACATCTACTAAAAAAATCGAAATCTACATCTATTAATATCCTGGCTATGTATCTACATGAGAATAAGCAAAAGGCTTTGATAAGAACATCAAATTTATTTATAAGTAGTTTAAATATAATAAATATGAACATTAGACGCTATATATATATAATAGGAAAAATAACACATGAAAAACTATTAAAAAAAACAATATATACATAAAAATGAACCTAAAAGAGTATAGAAACTAACGTGATCAACATATTATATAATGAGCATCTACTCACATATAAATGAACTTATATTGGAATGATAATGAACATGGCATAAAATTAATGAGCATTAAAAAATATATGTGGTTAAACATATAAAGCTCTACTCAAATTTTTTAGTATCTTACTGCTTGCATAAAATATATTTTTATCTTAGATGTGACATACAAATGATACAGGCAGGCTAAGTAGTAAGTACTACATATACTTAATTACCTACTACTCCATACTATACATAAAAAAGAGTACGTATTTGTAACAATCAATACACATTATTTACAAAACGTGAATGAATGTTTATCAAAATTGAAATAATAAACTTATCAAAATAAAAAATGAACATTTATTAATAAGAAAACGAACATTTATTAATACGAAAACGAACATAAACCATGTATGTATCAATATCACAATAAATATATATAAAATAAAGTGATCTTGTATCAATATGGAAATGAACATTTATCAATATGAAAATGAACATTAATAAAGTTAAAATAAAAATAAAATAAAAATAAAACTACTTTAAGAAATTTTTTTGATTAGGGAAAGAAAAAGAAAGCAGCTATGCTTATGATAACTGTCAATTAGAAAGACAAAGTAGAATTAGAGACTAAAAAAATTTAAGAGGGACAAAAATTGATGGGAAATTCAATCAATGAAATTTTTGTTGATTGAATTTCCATGGAAATTACTAGTAGAAGAACAAATCACACACTTCTAAGTTACATAAATTTTATGTTAATTTTGTTGTATTTTCAATATATATGTGTATATGTCTATTTTAATGATAATCATTGGTTTGTATTTGTTCATATGCCTTTTAAATAGTGAACAAATTTTATTATATGTTAATGTGTAGAGTTATAAAGATGTTCAGTTATGTAATGATAAATGATCATTTATGTAGATATATATGTTTTTTAATATAATAATAATATAATTGAACATTATTGATATTATATTTGTTTATTATAATTATTGCAGCCGATAGTAGAAATGCTCAAGATACTCTTATTGTTTCAAGGAATGTTCACGCTGCTTCTAGCTAGTGCTTCAACAAATGTTCAAGCTACTACAAGTGTTTCAAGAACTGTTCAAGCTACTACTAGTGTTAGTTCTAAGAAGTGTTCGAGGTGGTTTAGGACATACTTCTATTAAGTATGATAAGTTCTTAGTCTTTTTTGATACAAATGTAGCTAAGAGGTTCACTAGTAATGGTAAATGAGGGAGTACATTAGGAAACCATAACTTTTAAATTACTACTTTCATGAGACTGCATTTTATATTTTTATCATGTAATGGATCTAAGGTTGTGTTTCTATTAAGCAATGTTTTCTTTCAACCTTAATATTGTTAGTGATGTAAATTATTTGCAAATGAACATTTCATAGATACAAAACACCGAGTTGTTAAATATGTTAAAAAAAGAAATACTAGCTATTTAACATACAATATTAAAAAAAAAGAAATATCAAATTCTATAAAAAAAATAGAAATACCAAATAAAGACTCTTAAGCGAGTAAAATCTATAAGTTCTATTGAACACATATAAGAACATATATCTTTGTATAAATGAACATATATAAATTTATAAATGAACATGTAATACTACTCTTTTGTAATTTTTCTTGATAATCTTTTGTTGATCCTACATTCAGTGTTTTCTTCAAAAGCATTAGTTGAGTTGTGTATTGCATCCTCAGCTTCCTGATTTGGTCTACCTGTTGATAAAAATGAATATATAATATAATATTAATTGTTATTTAATAATATATAAATGAACGATATATTTTAAGTAAATGATCATTTGATGGACTAACATTGTTTGGGTTTAAGTCACAAATCCATTTTTTATTTTGATCACCAGTGAATGTTTCCATGTGTTTCATAATGTAAACTTCACAATTTGTGTAATCCTCATTGCCACTTTAAATGACACATCACTACAATATAGATTATATCAATTTATATGAAGAAAAAAAAATGTTCAGTATGTATTTCATATATGTTCATATATGTATCTACAAATGAACATTATTTTTTAATATAAATGGCATATTTTTTTACAGGTAGATGCTCATATATGAATTATAAAATATGAATAGCATATCCATCTCTAAATTCCATCAAATGTTTCACTTAAAATGGTATAAAACTATAATCTAGCTTTGTTTATTATGCATTTAAAAATGTTCATATATGTATGTAAAAATGCTGATAATATTTAAAAATAATGAACATATTAATAAATGTAAATGCACATATATAAACTATTAAAAAAACATTTGAATGTATTACCAAATTTTGTATGCATGCGTTCATAATGTTTCATACAAATCAATAACACATATTTAAAATAAAAAAAAAATCAAATCTGAATATGTTAATAAATACATATTAACATGTAATTATAGGTAAACATGTGAATATTTTCATAATATGATGTGAAAATGAACATATAGTGCTTTATAATTGTTCATTTTACCTAAGCATCCGAGACACTATTTTTACATCTGCAGCCTTAACGCTTGTATATCTTTGAAAGTGTTGGATCTACAATAGGAGATTTTTGTTCGCCTGTTTTTTTGTAGAGGTGTTTCACCATCATCTCAATTTTTACATTATAAACCATTTAATAAATTTTTTTTAATAAATTCTTGTAAATTTAAGAAGTTTGAGTAATATACTTACATTTATGAAGAATCGTTGTTTCTGTTCTCTGAAATAGATTTCTCCAAACTGAAAAATGAAATTGAAGCAAGTAGATGTTAATTTTACTAATTATTCGAAATAATCACTTTGAAATTGATGAATTATTAACATAAATACTTACATATATACATTTTCAGTTATTAAACTATCAATTTGTTTCCTGAAACACAATCACAAATAAATTCTCAAAAAATTAGTAAAAATTATATGAACATTTATACTTACTCTTTTGATTTTCGCTACTTTTTTTCGGTGAAATTTGCTTCGGTTGTTTGACTTCGTCTCTAATGTCCGCCATGGTTGAAGTTTTAAAGCTTAGATGAGAGAGATAATGGAGAGGGAAAATAAAGAGAGAACAAGATGTTTTTTTTTTTTTTTTTGGGTATATATATTTGTGGGGTAGAGGAAGTTACTGAATTTTTTTTTAGGATTTTAGGGAGTAATAGTATGCTGCATTTTGTGAGGGTATAGTACTGCAGAAACTATGAAAGTAGGTAGATGGGGGAAGGGGTGTTAAACGATGTGTTTAGAGAGGGGTGTAGGGGATGATGCCTAGACTAGAGTCTAGCCATAAATAACTATCTGGGCAGGGCAGAGCAGAGCAGAGTAGATCAGATTTCAACATTATTATTAATACTATTATTAATGTTGTTATTATTATTATTATTATTATTATTATTATTATTATTATTATTATTATTATTATTATTATATCTCAAAACCATACAAAGTTATACAACCTATAGAAAATTAGTGAGAAGCCGAGATACAATTTGGGCTCCCACTCCTCTAGCTATAGAAAAGTCGATCCTAATAAAGATATGGGCTGCAGCACGCACCCCAATATCCTGAGTCTTCAAGAACTTCTGGATTCGCTATTATTATTATTATTATTATTATTATTATTATTATTATTATTATTATTATTATTATTATTATTATTATTGCTACTACTACTACTACTACTACTACTACTACTACTACTACTACTACTACTACTACTACTACTACTACTACTACTACTACTACTACTACTACTACTACTACTACTACTACTACTACTACTACTACTACTACTACTACTACTACTACTACTACTATTACTACTACTATTACTACTAGTATTATTATTACGGCTATTTCACCAAATGCCACTAAACAATTTAAAAATTCACCAAATGCCATCGGACTTTTCAGAATTCACCAAATGCCACCGTGTTTTTAAAAAATTCACCAAGTGCCATTAATGACTAACGGCAGTTAACTCTGTTAGTCATTTAGGCTAATTATGCCACGTGGCATATTCTTATCGTTTCATTTTATTATTATTATATTATCAAAAAAAAAAAATAAAATAAAAATTAACCCCAGCCACTCCCACCGCACCACCGCCCCAACACCAGCCCAACCCCTTGCCCCCACCGGCGACCAGGCCAACATTCTCTTCGGGTGTCAGTGGCCACCCTTCCCCCTGATCCTATGCCATCGCCACCCTCTCCTTCCCAGAACCACCTTCCCCCCACCCTAAAACCCCTCCCTCCACTTTAAAAACACCTCCCTCCCCTCCCACCGTCGCCCAGCACTATCACTTATGCCGCCATGCCGGCTGTAGACACCTAAAAATGTCTCCCCAAATCCAAACCCGATGATGAACAACCTTTCACCGCCACTATTGATCGGGTTCAGTATTTAATCCCGAGAGTGCTTAAAAAATCGTATTTGATTAAATTCATATTTTTGAACAGTCCATGGATTAGTCTTGATGTTTGGTAAAAGCATAGTTTTAATTTCAGCCCAAATTTATTATTTAATTTTAGTCCAAACCTTTTTAATTTATTATTTATTTTTGGTCCAAACCTTTTATTTATTTTATTTAATTATTTTTTTATTTTAGCCCAAATGATAATAAATCAGAAAAGGCCCGAAATTGTCAATCAGCACTTAAAATGCTGAATGAAATTAGGGTAAAAAATGTATTTAGACGGAAAAGCGGGCTGGGAATTCCCGCGCCACGGCAGGTATCCACCGTGTCACGGGAATCATTCCCGTCTGACGGTGGGATTTTCCCGTGACACGGGAAATCTGCCGTGACACGGGAAATTCCGTGTCTTTTCCGCGTAAACCCTTAACGCGTTTTCTTCCCCGTTTACTGAAAATTTCCCGCGTCACACTAAAATTGCACCGTGTAACGGGAATGTTTCCCGTCTGACGGTGGGACTTCCCGTGTCACGGTACAGATAGCCGTGTCGCGGGATACTTTTTTTAGGGTTTTTATCATTTTAGGGTTTCGTGTGCTCCCTCAGCACATTTTCTCTATAAATACCCCCTCATTTATGATGTACGAGGCATCAATTAGTTCTCTAGTTTATTTTTCTCTCTTCTACGCTTTAGCCTAAACACTAGCCTACCCTTCTTATTTCAAAATTCCTTCTTCAAGTGCTCAAAGGAGTCCATACTTTACTCGTGGTTCTATCATTAAGCCAAGGCGTGAAAGGTAGAACTGTTTGAGGGTTTGGCCCCAAATCAACTCTACTTAATTTAATTTAATTTAATTATTGTTTTATTATTTTTTTTTTGAAGTTACTAACTCGTTTATTATTTTGTAGTTGCAAACAAACAGAATCAAAGTAAGAATTATGTTCCTTTTATTTCCTATTATTTTTCTAACGATTTTATATTGTTGGAATTATGGTTAAATTGCTTCCAATATTAATGTTTCTACTATTATTTTTATTGATCACCATATTGCATGTTTAAAGGGAATATGTAATTGAAAATCACGCCTAATAAGATAATTTGGACAACCGGTTTAGGTTTCTTTTTAATCTTGTTATTAATTCAAGTGATCACAAATATTTTAGAATTATGTGTTGCATTAATATTCAACCAATTTAGCCTAATAATAGTTTGGAGCAAATTGAATCTTTGTTTGTATGCCTTTGAGATTGCAGGAATCACTTTTCACTATAAGAATCGAGTAGAGGCCAATACGGGCGAATGTGACTCCATGACTCACTTCGTACCATCATCCCCGATCCTCCTTTCGTGGTTCTGAACCATATGGAGTTAGTAATCTCATGGATTATGAATGGGGTGTAACCTTCACGGGTCAATCGTTGTTGCCTATCGTTGTCCCTTATCGTGGTTGCCTTTTTATGATCCGTGAACGGTTTACAAGTTCCTTAAAAACTTGTTGGCGGCTCCCTACTTTCCTTGTCCCTAATCGTGTCCCTTATCGTATATGTCAATTCCCACTTCCTATGAGTGCCAAGCATATTCACACATGCTCTAACGTAGGCGCACTTCGAGCGACGCCTACAATTTGGCGACTCCACTAGGGAGGATTCTTGGTTATTTATCGATTTGAGTGATCGATATTTAATTAAGATGAGTGGATGAGACTTGAAAGATTCTTGAAAAAAATATTCCTGTGATTAATTTGGCATTTTTGCATCTGCATAGACGTTTTAACGTCGCATTCAGGTCTGTCCCGTAGGAAAAATTGAATAACTTGGTTGCGCACGAAGGAAAACAGGGCACCAGTCAGATCTTCTGACTGCCGTGCCACGGCAAAATCTACCGTGTCATGGTACAGTGCACCGTCTGACGGTGCACAGTACCGTGGCACGGGAATTTTTGTCGTGTCACGGTTGTCCTAAAATCAGTCCGGCGGTTTATTTTCTCTTCTCACAGTCAACTTCCTTCGATTTTTCTGAAAAAGCGTATGTGTTCTACATGCGTCTTAGCCCCGGGGGATTTAAGCTCTATCAACCCAAAAACGCTCATGGCAATAAGGGTTCATCCGAGTCATTAAATCCACCCAAACCATGGAGTCGAGTTCGATTTCATCACGAATTCGCGGAGCCGCCCGTTGGCATACACCCTCAAGGGAGGCTGCCTTGCTAACGCGTCCAAACACTTAACCATGGTACCCTTTTGACACCCAAATCTTGACCAATAGTTGAACATAGATCTTGACTCTAGGTTGCGAACTTTTTTTACATCATTGTGCCTAAATGCTATGTGATTGTTTGGTGCTAACCTTCATGTGTTTACTCTTTTTTTTAACCCATGACCGAGGGTTTTTATTTTCACATAGTAATTAGTATGGACCTAAAATCGATTAAAATTTGGAAAAATCACAAAACTGACCTGGAACTGCGCACCGTGTCACGGTGTGTTCTGCCGCGCCACGGTGAACAGTTCCGTGACACGGGGCTTTCTACCGTCTGACGGTAGACTGCACCGTGTCACGACAGTCAGCACCGTGACACGGTGCCCAGGAAAAGTGTCCTGTCTGTCTTGTTTTGATTTTTGTGCGTACGTATGTGGATGCTGTGTCCAGTTTGGTGTCATGTCTAGCTATACGGTCAAAACACGCGTCCATAACCTCACTCAATAACTCACATATTGTGTTCACACACTTTTTTTTTCCTTTAGTCGTGCACTACTTTTTGACCGTATTTTAGGATAGTCTTGTTTTTTGTGTCGTTTTTTTCGGAGTAAATCAGATAGTATCCTCCCATATTTTTTTAAGAAAATAAACGAATAAGAATTTCAAAATTATAATTTTTTTTTTTAAAAAAAAATTCATTCCGGATGGGTTAAGGTTAAGTTTGGTCATTAAAGGTGTGTTTGTTTCGGTGTCACAACACTTGGTCTAGGAGCAGGGGTAGATTGTTACGGTTCGAGTCAATACCTCAATAACCTCTTATACCAAAGAGGCGTACAAGGAAACCACCTCAATCATCTCCACAAGATCCATCTCCAGTCTACTTTCAACCAATGGCTACTAAGGAAGACATCGAGAACCTCAACAAGACAATTGAAAAGTTGTCTAACATGATGCAGACACTCAACACTAGAGTCAGCACGGTAGAGCAAGACAATCAAAACAATGTCAATACCGCTGCAATGGACAAGATTAAAGTACAGATGAGCAAAGTTTCTGAAGAATTCACTTATGTGGAACAACCTGTCACCTCTTCGTCCATAAGGGACAAACTTCCTGAGAAGTTTTCCACTGCTGACATCCCCAAATTCAAGCCTACTGATCATCCGCTTTTCCATTTGAAGGCTTTTTCTGCGACTATGGCTCTTAAGGGAGTAGATGTGACACTCTTCCCTACAGTGTTCCCTCTTTCCTTGGAGCATGCCTGTCAACAATGGTTTTACTCTTTGGAATCCAAACATGTCGCGACCTGGGAGGATGTTGCTGAAAGCTTTATGAATCGTTACAAGTGTAACATTCAGGCCAAGACTTCTGAACGTGAACTCTCCATTCTCAAATAGAAAGAGAATGAAGGCTTCACCACATACCTAAGCAGGTGGAGGGAAACAGCCGCGCTCTTGGTGGATCCCCCCAAGGAAAAGGAGATGGTTCGCTTGTTCATTGCCAATCTGACTCATAAGTATAAACAACACTTGAAGTTTCTTCCTCTCAGTACCTTTGAAGTTGTATATGATATTGGAATCAATATCGAGGACGAACTAATGAAGACTGCTGGTAGCAACAATAATAACAGCACTTGGAAAAACAAGAAGAACGACACTCCTTCTTCTTCGTCTTCTAAGCCCAATAATGCTACCAACAATATCAATATCAGTGATGTGCTGGCCCTTAATGCTCCTCCTC